AATCTCTGGATCACAGCTCTTTCTGGAGCAGCTCTGTAGCCGTGCTATGCTGCAGGACTTGTCAGCTCCTCATCACTCTTACTAAATGGGGACATTTTATGAAAAGCTATTCTGAAGTTGCAATTTATTGCACAGTGATAGCTGGAGCATTAGGAGCTGGAGAAATCTCTAATTTCATTGCTTTACTGGACTCTTGGGAGTTTTCTTAATATACATTACACAGAGGAAGCAAATGTCCCTCTGAACATTTCTGAGGTGCTGAAAGTATTTAGGATTACTGTGTTAAGAACCTCACAGGTTAAGTGATACAATTCCTTAAGGTTTTGGGTTTGGCTTCTGAAAATGCTTGAAAGTGAATGTTTTGACTAACTGGGCCATATTTCCATCATTGTTACTCCAAGTTCTTCCCCTGCCATAAAACACCACCTTTCGGGACTGCATCCAAATATCATCATTTACATCAAGTTACCTTCAGAAAAAGTTTGAAGCCACTCATTTTGTCCTGACCCTTTTAGGCATTCCCTTCTCACCTGCACATCCCACCCCACCTCCCTTCATCTCTTCTGTTAAAGAAGAGGGGCAAAAGATTCTGTCTGTCATTGTGTGCAGCAACGTGACACACAAGCCACAAGAACTGAACAGCAAATGAAGAACATTTGCTAGATTACCTTAATTACAGGATGATACTTCTGCGCTGACTGGGCTAACGAGAGTGCCACCTGCCTCTCAACATGGCAGAACCTCTCCTAGGCTGTAATTTGTCAGTCGCTGTGTGTACAGTGTTATGTGGCCTGTGTTCATAACCTGTTGCGCAGACCCTCCCTGCCTCCCCTTAAGTGGAAACCTAACTGCTTTGCTGTGCCAGTACAACCTATACTACTGCAGGTCAGCGTCGCTTTTAAGTTGCTCCTCATCATTTACAAGTTGCTCCTGTCCTTCTTCCATTCCCAAATAACTAACAAGTCACATGGACAGGCCAAAAAAAAGGAGAAAAAGAAACCCAACCATATTTTAGGGAGCTAATGAGAATGGAGTAAATCCTAACTGGGGGCTACCTGAGACCGAATGGGTTTTGTAGTGGAGAACTTCATCCCCTGGAAGTAGTTCTACACTTGGTAGCTGCAAAACTTTTTCCACTCCCACTTCAGGAGTAACTTTCATGCCTCAGAAGTCCTCTGTAGACTAAGACGCCCACCGCACTGCGTCCCCATGCAATGCACCTTCATGTCTCCAGGTGAAAGATGCTAAGTAATACCACCTAATCCCACCAACTCCCGAACAGACCTTGAACATTCCCTCCTCTTGCTCTGTGCCATCACACACTGGCCCCACCTTTCCACTAGAGCGAGCTCCCTGGCACAGGTGTAGCACCTTTCTTAACCCAAACACTAATCACACTCCAAAATGCTACTAATACTGTACATCGAACAGCAAGCAACACAAATCTAAGAAAAATGCCCAGGGGGAGAGTTACTCCTAACCTGCAGCAGGATGATACCAGGGGTCCACACTGGGACCAGGACTGTTTTACATCTTCAGCAATGACAAAGACAGCAGGATCGAGTGCACCCTCAGCAAGTTTGCCAACAACATCAAGCTGAGTGGTGTGGCCAAAACACCTGAGGGATGGGATGCCATTCAGAGGCACCTGGACAAGCTTGAGGAATGGGCCCCTGTGAACCTCATGAGGTTCAACAAGGCAAAGTGCAGGGTCCTGCACCTGGGTCGCGACAACCCCTGGTATCAGCACAGGCTGGGGGTGAAGGGATGAAGAGCAGCCCTGCCAAGAAGGATTTGGGGTACTGGTGGATGAAAAGCTGGACGTGAGCCGCAATGTGCGCTTGCAGCCAAGAAGGCCAACTGTGTCCTGGGCTGCCCCCAAAGCAGTGTGGCCAGCAGGGCGAGGGAGGGGATTCTGCCCCTCTGCTCTGCTCTGAGGAGACCCCCCTGCAGTGCTGCGGCCAGCTCTGGAGCCCTTGGCACAGGAGAGACATGGACCTGTTGGAGCGGGGCCAGAGGAGGCCCCAGCAACGCTCCGAGGGCTGTAACAGCTCTGCTGGGAGGACAGGCTGGGAGTGCTGGGGGGGCTCAGCCTGGAGCAGAGAAGGCTCCGGGGAGACCTTCCTGCAGCTGCCAGGGCTTAAAGGGGCTGATAAGAAAGATGGGGACAGACTTTTTAGCAGGGCCTGTAGCGATAAGACAAGGGGTAATGGTTTTAAACTAAAAGAGGGCAGATTTAGACTAGATGTAAGGAAGAAATTTTTCACACTGAGGGTGGTGAAACCCTGGCCCAGGTTGCCCAGAGACGTGGTCGATGCCCCATCCCTGGAAACATCCCAGGTCAGGTTGGACGGGGCTCTGAGCAACCTGCTCTAGCTGAAGGTGTCCCTGCCCACGGCAGGGGTTTGGACTAGATGGCCTTGAAGGGTCCCTTTCAACCCAAAGATTCTATGATTCTGTGACTCTGTGAGGCTTGCAGAAAAGCATGGTTATGAGTGAATATATGGAAGGATATATCCAAATGCATTAAATTAATGTTTCCTGACATTAATAATTTTTCAGTGTGAAGCAAAGTAGGTCAGATAATGGTGTTACAGGCTTTTGAGGAACAGACTATTGCTGAAATTTAAATCTCACCTCCTGTCCTGTTGCTGCCTCCATATCAAGGAACAGATCGAGCAGAGATCGGACTAAGCGGGCTGCCTTTGCTTTGCTGATAGAGTTCAAGAAGGGTCGAACATACTTCAGAAGTCCTCCCAGCTCTGTATACAAGAAAAATCAAATAATGAAATAAAACCACAGAGCCAAAAGTTACACGGCAGTTGGAGTACCTGACACGTCTATACACCGCAGTATTTATTACACCAAACATTTTATAAGCAGTCTCGCAACATCACTTACAGGAAAATAGCGATAAACGTCACATGAAGGAATGCCTTGCAGTAAACACAGGGACTGGCAAAGGTGACTGCTGGGCTCCAGTCTTAGCCGCACAGCATACGTTTCCCGTTACTTCAGTTCACCCAATTATAACACCATTTGTAACTACACTTGCCTCAGGCAAGTTTTAAAAATGTAAGCATCTGCTAAATGCTTTGAGATTTTTCTATAAAACAGGCAATGGAGTTTATAGGTTAAGGATGTTTTTATTAACTCACAGTTTGACATTTTAATCTGCCATACCTAGCTAACCACAGAAAGTCAGATACACCCCACGTTCCACTGCTAAAAAAATGACATTTCTTAACACTTCAACTACCCACATTACACAATTAGCTCTTCTAGATTTCTGTTTCTACTAGTCTCCTTACTACTTTGCAGTTACAAAGCTGGTCTCAAGCTCACAAAGGAAAAGTCTTTCTTTATGAAGAAATACACTAAAAACATCAATCCTACAGAGCAGAGGAATGCGGCAGTCAGTGTCATAGCCGTTTCTGGACTCAGTGTTCGCGGAAGCAGAAGGGAGTTCCTTGTTGGAATTGCACAGCACAAGTTACAAGTCTTCTCCTGGGATAAACGACACACGGCTACCAGGCCAGGTTGCTGTGATGGCTGTTTACAGCCGGGGGAAGACGATACTTCCAGCAGACCAGCACCGTGCCAGCGCAGGGTTCAGCACTGACTCATGAACTGGTGGGATCATACACTGAAATCGCAGCTTATTTGCCCCAGAATTTTAAGTCTCACCCAAACATCAGCCAGATCTTACACTACCATGTTTACAAGATTTGATAGCAAAAAAAAAAAAAAAACCACAAAACACCACCACCACAACAACAAAACACCGAAACAAACCCTCTAATGAGTAGTTTGGAAATCTTCAATATACTTTATACCAAACTGGTATCAGAATCAAAACTAAAGTAAGAGACTAATCTAATTTTATTTCAATTAGTTGAACAGAGGACCATCAGCAGAACTTCAGTTTGGGAGGATTGCAATAAAAACAGTTGAAAACAAGGTTTCTTTCATATTTCATTTAGCAGGAATACAAAAGAATTGTTATAAGAACATCTTAATATCTAAAAATTATTCCTTATATTTCTTGCTTTTTCAACCTATTTATTTTAAAAGTTTAATCAAGCCTGATACAACTCATTTCTTACACTGTCAGGAAGTGGAACTCACAGTGTGTTCCAATCCAACTGCTCACGGTGATGTACTGACATTTTTATACATCTGGAAGCACAGTTTTAGAACAAATAAAACTTATCTTCAGTGCACCCTGAATCCTTAGAGAAGCCTTATTTTCCAAACAGCAGTGCATCAAATTGTGACTCTTTCTTCAACGAACGACTCGGCTTTTGTACAGGGAACAAAACAAGACGCTATGACTGCCATGCCTAAGATTTCGTAGAAGTTTTACCTTCTCTCTGCCTGGGAACAAATGGGCAGGTTTTTCTAGAATTGAGGTACAGCTACTTTAATGCCTAAGATCAAGCCCCACTGACTCACAGTTTCAATCAGTGCTCAGCCTTTACTCAACAAGAAACTGTTACCTACAGGCCCATGGCAGATGGTGACTTTACCCACAGCGCCGTCGTCCCGAGGACCACTCGGTCTGCAATACCACCCATGGACGCAAATCCCGATCATTTTAATCAAACACTGCAGTTTCACATACAGTAAGCAAACTACCACAAAAGACAGCAGTCAGCTGCTTCCAACACATCAGTTTTGCACAGAGCTACTCCCAAGCGTCCCTCCTCTCGATGCAAGCTGGGAAAGGTAGGCTCTGGATCACCTCGTTGGGCTCGGAAGAGAAGCAGCACTAAAGCTGGTTCTTGTGCTCTTCCCTGATGCAGTTAACACGAGCACTTGAAAACACCACACTTAACACAGGGAGCAAGTCTGCTTCTCATCAGGTCACAGCACTGTATCCTTAGCTTTAGGCTCCGTAACTAAGAATTGGCCAGTCTTTCAGTCTGTCTTATCAAGGAAGCACAACTCTGAGATCCATCCTTCATACCGTGCATTGCTGCTTCTCAGCACCAACTGAATCATGTTTTTAGTGCACAACACACTCTTCCACATGGGAAAGGAAGGGAAAAAAAAAAAAAAAAATCACACGAAATATACTGCAGTACTTATCTTTCCATTGACTTGTTCAACAGTTGCCTGAGAATTCACTAGAAAGTAGATTTGAACTCAACAAATAGAATATATCTGTACATTTTGCAAACTACACATTTAGACATGCAAGCTCAAAGTTCCCATAGAAATTTCTCTTTCCTACCAATGTAACTGTCAACTATTTTTAGGATTTTTTGGGTTTTTTAAGTAAATGCAATGCTTGGTAAAGGGGTGATTGACAGCTCTGGAGAAGTGATGAGCAGAAGCTCTGGAAAATGAAATCTGCTGCTCATCCTCAGACAGAGTGCTTCCACCAGCTAACATGTCACAGACCTGAATTCCTGATCCAAGTTATTCCAATCCTATAGTTTTAAGCACTGTCCTAAAAAAAAGTAATCAGTTCAATCCTTAATCTCTATCAAGCAAATAAAGAGGGTCATTTGTTTTGTTCTGTTTTTTAAAACAAAGCCATAGTTCACTAGAGGTTAGTCCTCTACAAACTACAGATTCATTTCACGCTCTCAGCCAGTCAGCAGCACAGCAGTTCTAACTTTCAAACCTCACCAAACTGCAGCTGATTTTTTTCCCAAGGCTGCAGCTCGCTTGAAAGTAGCCAAAAGCCACTGCAACACCTCAAATCTGTCAAAGAAATTCCACTAGCTACCACTGAAATGCACGGTCTCAGTAATTTCCTCGTTAGGTTAAGCGGCACCAGCTTCACTCCCATTGGAGATGAAGATCTGCGTGTCTGCCTGGTGCTAGCATCTTTGTGAACAGTTGTACCTGGTGAAGATGTCACTGACCCTGACTGCTTGTCACTCCTACTAGTCTACTTCACCCTAGAAAGCAGACAGAAAAGGTGACCGTGTCTTTACCATGGGACTAGCACATCTCTAAGCTACGGTATCCCCTTTCTTCACCCCCCAACTTCACCACAAATCTCCAGAAACCACAACCTGGTGGTCTCACTCTGACCTACACATTCACGACTGGCTTCTTAATGTTGCCAATTCATTTTCTTCTATTCAGAATATAGTTGCTCTGCAGTTTAGTGTTGCCTTTAACACATTTCAAATACGTTTTCACATTTGCACCTTCATAAACCTGGTTTTGATGAGTTAACATTGCCGTTTTCAATTACTTAGCCTTACCCTTAAAAAAAACTATAGCCACCTAACTAAAACTATAGCCAACTAACCTAAAAACTATAGCTATGGCTAACTAGCCACCCTCTGAGAACACACTGAAGTTCTTTATATTCGTCTAAGACTTCAGCTTAAACTCAAAACGACTCCAAGTTCTGCAGCGATAAGGAGGCCATCATGCACCTAATAACTCTTCTCTCAGGCTTATGCACACCAGCAGTACATCCACACATTTACTTAAGGAGATTCTTGTGACAATTTCCCCCTTTTTAGCCCAAACACACACCCCTCCTTGGTGCTGGAGCAAAGCCATGTTTAGTTACCTCTGCAGAAGCAAACACCAGAGTGCAAAGAGCACCCATACAGGACAGACACCTACACCTAAGTTAATTGACTTGAAGTCCTTTAATATTCAATTAAAGAAACGGACACTGGTACAGCAGGCTTCGTTTGTCCTGCTCCAAATTCTTACTGTAGGAAAAGATGAATTGTGTGCTGGAAGGACTTATTTTTCTCCACTAACTAAAAAAGCAATCCACGCTAGGAAATCAGACATGGACACCTATAGTTAGGTGAGATGAATAGCACCTTTGTTTCCAGCACTGCTCTCAGTGCAAGTAATCTACTTTGTCACAAGCTCTGTTCAACTGCAAATCACAGTAGGATCAGTGTCCAGAATGCTCAAACACAATTAGACATGGGTAGATCAGTTAAATGGCCAAGTCAAAACAGATGTTTACACAGACTGGACAGTAGGACACCAAGCGTGCGTTTCAGAATAAACATAAAACAGCGATCTTGATCAGCCGTGATCTGAGACCTCATACTGCTTTCCATGAACTACTCTGACATCAGGTCTGGCATCCCAGTCAAATTCCAGTTTGATTAAACCTCCTGCTGGCCTGTTTTCCCCAACCAGTTTCAGACTGTTAAAAGCACACATGCTTCACTTCACATTCTCAATTATTGTTGTGCGCAGTTAGAAAACATATATATGGCTATACCATGGCCAACTGTCTGCCGCAGACAGAACGCTCTTCACACAGACGTGGTGTATCAGCTCCTAAAACGCTTGAGGTGAAAGGGACTCCAGAACAGGCAAGAGCATTCTTCAGCAAAAGAAAAAAAACTAAACCGCCAAGTACAAAATAACAAGCACGTTGCCTTGAGCTTCCCAGGAAACAGAAGACATGAACAGATTCAAATCAAAAATCATTGAATAGAGAACTTTACTCTATTTGTGTCCGTTCACACGTTCACAATAGAAGGACTGTCAAGTCTCGCTCTTGTGTGGAGCTGGGCAAGGATTTTCTGATGTCATGTTTCGGAAGATAAATCAATTGAGAAAGAAGCTGCTGGTGAAAAAGGACTTTTTGGGACAAACTTGCCAATTTGAAACAAGGCTCTGAAATTATTAAAAACAAGAGAAACTTCTCATCTCAAACATGAGAACTTAACAAAACTTTAGTCACTTGTACTAAAATGGCCACATGCCAAAGGGTCATAAACTAAACTGTCCAACACATCAGCAATCTTTTGGCATACTGGGCCAAGTAACATGTGATTAATATTTTATGTTGTTTATCTAGTTTTTTAGTTTCTGTCCTGTCTCTGAGGGAACATTCCCTGTCAAAAACTGCTTTTACTTCTATCCCATGAAATAAGGAGATTAAATTCATTGGAACATATGTATCTCTTACCCATTACCTCAGTTACTTATTTCAGGCTCACCTTCTGCCTGCCCAGTCTTGGCCAAAAGTGACCCCAGTTCCAGGATGCTCTGCTCTTTGACTTGCACTGCTTCTTCATCATTTTCCTGGACATCGCGTTTCACTAGAAAAAAGTAGAAAAGTTACCTTTAACGCTATTTCAGTTAGAAGAAAATCATTACTAGTCAGCTCCTGGAAAGGCACCAAGAAAAGTAACTGTTGTAACAGGCAACAGTGAATTCAGCCTGGCCTGTGAGGTCTGGAAAACAGACTTTAAAAGTTTAAATGCATGGCTTATACGGAGTGCTTCATCTATACTTCATGAAGGCTTTAATCCAGCTGATAGATGCAACTGCATGCTCCAACTTGAATATAATTTAAGTTTTGAAGTATGCTCATTAAGCTTGTCCAGCTGTTCAAGTTTCATTTAAAAACACCACCATATAACAGACCCTCTCCCACTGAAGCCACAAAACCAAATAAAAGAAATATAATGGGATTTCCAGGGTTGGGTATTCTGGTATTGGGATTTCTGATGTTGCCGCTTTGCGTATTAAGTTGCGATCCCGTGGTCAAAACGTAGCATAAGAACAACATTGGCTCGGTGAGCTGGGTACGTCTGCCCTCTTGGCTCAGGAGCAGATCAGGTCTTAAAACTGCTGGAGTCAGTGCTCCTTCCCACACGGAACTCCAACAACCTAATGGTACACAGCGTGACGAATGTGGGTAACTCTGGCTCTGAAGTACTCAGAAGGGTCAAATGACTTACAGCAGTACCAAACCCGTGTTTACACAATATCAGTTTCATATAAGTTACCCACAAAACAGTACACTTTCTTCACTGCCACCAGCTACCATGTAAATATTCATCTCCACCATCCCCTGCGCCGATGAGTTCATCCAACTTCCACACAAACAAAGCCAAAATCCACTGTCCAGCTCTACAGAGGGAACCAAAACCCTCCACGCTGCCCCTAAGCACAGACTATGGCTTTCAGTCCTCATAATCTAACACGTGTGTTGTCAAAAGCAAAGTAACTTCGCTCTCGAGGAGAAAAGCATCACAGCAACGCTCTCTGGACTGTTCCTGCTTACACCAACTGGCAACATAAGCTGTTACACCTGACTGAGCCCGACCCAACAGAAAGTTGTAGGTGTGTTGACAGGTTTGAGAACACCAACTACCAATTAACCAGAGAAACACTGAGAGGAATGAGCAACTTTTAGAAAACCACACAGCAATTCCAATGGCAAGGTCTAACACGACACCAGGAAACATTTATTTGCCCGACACAGTAGGGTGACAGCAGGTCACAGCATCTTTTCAGAAATCACCATACATTATGAGAATTTAAATTATTCTTTTATAAACCTGTTTTGAAGTTACCCCCTCTCCCTGCCCTGTCCACCTGACGCCCAAATAAAGAGGGATATCCACATGATGCCTACAAATCACTTCACAGCACCAACATCTTCTTGGCACTGCTAAATGTCCGGGACAGCTCGGCAAGGTACCTGCTGCCAACAGCATCTGTCGTCAAACAAGCAGAAGTTAAAACTCCAGACTCAGCGCACACAAAAACTCCTCAAACTTTCTGTGTACTGCTTCGATGGTAATTTAAATAGCTGGTGTTTTTTAGCGTTATCAGAGGAACTACCACTTCCAGCAGAGC